TATGGGCCATGTGACCCTTGGCAAGCCACTTAACTTTTCAGTGCTCCCAGGCTGTTGCATAAAAGGTGTTAATATAAATTAACAGAGTAAGTTCCTCGCCAGGAACCACTACACAGATAAAATTTCACCCCCTCCAAAAACAACCACCTCAACAAATATGGCTTATTAGAGCAGCGCTTCATAAACTGTTGGGTCCCACAGTTTCAGAAGCACTGAAGGGATCTTGAGTGGAAAAGTTTAAGAAGCCCTGCTTTAGAGAACTGTGAGAAAAAGATGAGATAAAATAGGTTAAGCTTACTGAGGTTCTTGGAAGAAAATTCTTAAATTCAAGGTATTTTAGTGTGAGTACTTGAAGTTAATGATGTTGATGATTTTCTTTCCTTTGTTTGGGGTTGGGGACACAAAAATGAAGCCTTTCCCACAAGAACAAACTAAGAGTCAGAAGTAGGTTCAGGATAGAGTACCAATACCTTGGTAGTTAGACATTGGGGACTATCCTTATAATTACTTGCCTCTCAAATTTTTAAGCACTTCATTAATGTAGACCATGATTGAAAGGCCATTAGCCTACCTGTACCCCCTACCCTGCTGAGTGTCTCTAAGATAATAGGCCCCTTTGGAGCTCAGAAGAGCTATATACAGTTCAGAGGCACCCGGCAATAGGTCCACAGTTGGTGCTAGACTTTTTCAGAGCTGAACTCGAGTCGTCATTATCTACATTTGGATTGTGGGCACATACCAGGGCCCACCTCCTGTGCTACTGCCCAGACAGCCCTGTGGCCACCTTTCCTGACTCATGGCATTCCGTGACTGGCTTTCTCCTCCTTTTCCCACCTGTCACCTTATAAAGCCTTAGTCTATTTCCATTCTCATTTAAGTTTCCATTACCTTAGTATGTAATAGATTCCAGCTTCCTCTACAGTACTCTTTACTAACCTCTTAATTGTCCCAGATTAACACAACAACCGGCCCTGGAGTAGAGGCCAGGAGACTGAAGGAGACTGTGATTATCCCAGGCATTCTCTTGGACAATCATGTGATGTACCTTAAGGGGCTTGTAGGAAACTCACCTAAAAGAAGTGTTGTTTGTTGAGTCCTGAACACTGAGCCCAGATATTCAGCATCTGGGTGTCATGATCATAAGTGGCTTTGAATTGGAGATTTTAGCCTATGGGAAGCAACAGCAGAAGCAGCTGAGCTAGGCAGTCTCCTCTTCTGTCTTTTAATGCAAAAACGTCTTTTATATGTCAATCAAACAGCATAATACTTTATAGCATCCTTTCTAGCTGTCTCACCATTGCTCATTGTTCCAAGATAAGGAATTGAAAAGTGGCTATTTGGAGGGTAAGGAATCAAAGAGAGTGGGGGATAGTGTCTAAATTCATCCCTCCCACCCTTCCAACTGCCTTCAAGCTCCTACTTTTTTTTTTCCTATTTGGGCTTTCCCACCTATAAGATTTAGATGCCTCTCTGGCTTTAAAGAAATGCACTAAGCATATGATTTGCTGTGCTGTATTATTCATGCAAATGTCCTTCTCCATTAGTATGCATAATTGAGAGTAAACTATATCATGAACTCTCAATTATTGTATCTGCATGTAGATTATCTACTTTGTGAATTATTTGAAGCAACTTTTTAATCCTAGGTTGGCTTTCTCCTAACCCAGATCACTTATTGACAGTTTTCTTCCACCAAGAAATATTAAAAAATCATATAAAAACATATAAAAAATCATATAACACCTTTTAAGGTCAAACCTGAATGTCTTTTACTTTTTGAATTATCCATACCTCTGCCTCCCTCCATCATGCCAAATATTTGATAGACGACTATTTTCAAAGTTTAGGTACTCAATTCTTTGAGCTTCATGAGTGTTTCAAATGTATTTTGTGGTTCTTTATAACAAAGCCAACTTATCATTTCTCCCATTTAGTCATACACCTAGAAAATCATTCTAGCTCCATTTTCACATTTCTCCATTATTTTGGACTACTGTTAGAAAAGTTCCACCCCCTCCATCCAAGTCTCTTATAGCTTTTTCAGGTAAATTTTTGTGAGGAGCCTGGACTTGTGATTTTCCTTGGCGTAGAAAACTCCTTCTGTCAGTGCAGATGGATACCTGAGGCCAGATTTGAACTTAGGTCTTCCTAACTCCAGGCCCAACCCTTTATCCACTGCACCACCGAGATGATCTTTGGTAGTTTTAGATAAAACATCTTGAGGAAAAGTAAAGCTGTCTCTTCCAAAAATACCTGCCTAGGTGGACATGGCTCAACCCTGCACTATCCCTAACTGTTTAAGCAAGAGATGGTGCTTAGTCACCAAGCTGAAAAAGCACTAAAGTTACTAGACTTTTTAAAGTTCTCAAGCCCACTGAATCTTTTTTAAGGATTTCTCTTAACTCTATTTCATTTTAGCTGGTAGAGTTCAGACTCATAAACAGGGGACAGGAGGAAAATAAATTTGTGGAGATAAAAAGATGAGAGGCCAAAACATTTAGCAATAGCTGAAGTAAAAAAATTAAAGGGTGGCTAAAATTGTTTAAAAATTGTTTGAATGAGTTCCACCTAGAAACCACCAAATATCTCCAAAAAACAATTACCTTTTTCTTAAAGAAATCTTTTATCTTTAAAAATTGTCATTTTTACAAAAATCCTCAAAATAATATAAGAAAGAATAGAGTTCAGCCAGGGAACTTATTCATTAAGAGTGCCTTAGAATATAGGCTGAATTTAAAAGTAAATGTCTTGCCTTTGATGTTTAGAATAGGTGGTGGAATTGTATTCCCAGAGGAGTTAATGAAAGATTCAAACATTTAGAAGAAATGCTGAAAGTTGTAAACTGGGTTATCTACTGTGAATATGCTCCCTGGATAACTATAGTTGGGAAGGATTGTGGACTAAATCATTCCACCCCCATCCAATAAACATTTCAGTGACCACTATATGCCAGGCACTGTGCTAAGCAATGGGGATACAGTTAATAAAAGCTGCCCACAGAAAGCTTACAAATCAAAAAAGGGAGACCACCTACAAAAAGGAGATATGGAGATGGATGGAGGGATGGAGAGGGAAACACCAAGGGCATCTTGTTGTATGGAGCTGAAACCAGGCAGAGCAGAAGAGGCAAAGTGAACTGAGTTGAGAGTCCAGTTTCTGCCCTTTATAAAGGAAGGAACTGAGAAGAATTTGATCCTCCCCATTTCAACCCTCTAAACAGAGAAGAGAAAAGACTGAGGGAGGTGGTGTCAGTAAGGCTTGAGTAGGAGTGAACTTAGAAGTGAGGAGCTTATCCTGGAGGGGCTGCTTGTTCCATGGAGTTAAAACCAGGCAGGGCAGTAGAGGCAAAGTAGAAGTCATTTAATATACCTTCTAGATAGAACATAACTGAAAACCAAGAAGTAAACCCCGACCCCTCTCCCCCCGCCCCAGAAGGGAGCCTATAAGCATCCAAAGTTCATGTAAAGCTCATATGCTTTACTCATTGAAAAGTGCACCAGACCCTTATTCTTAGGTGTAATTCTAACTTGCTTGGTTATTTGATTTCTAAGACCGAAAAAGATTAGAACGTCAGAATGGGAAGGGAAGAGGGGCCTCCTGATTGTAATAATGCTGACAGCTTTGAAAAGTGACATCCCCATGGCTTATTGGATAAGAGAGCTGGCCTCAGTCAGGAAGACCTGGGTTAGGATCTCGACTCTGTCATATACTGGCTGTGTGAGTCTTGGCAAATCAACCAATTAATCAACAAGTATTTATTAAGTGTCTGCTATGATAGATGCTGAAGATACAAGTGCAAAGAGTAAAAACAACCCCTGCCCACAAGGAGCTCACATTCTGATGATGGAAGACAGCAAGTACAGTTAAAAATATAGGTAGCATAAATATATGCAAATATACACATGGTTTATTTGACTACAAGGTGGTGTGGGAGGCAGGGTACTCAGCAGTTGAGGAGGGGATCTGGCAAGCTTTCAGGCAGATAAGAGTATTGAGCCTTGGCTTAAAGGGATAGAGGAACTCAGTGTGGGAGGGGAGGAGGGAGTGGAGTGCATTGTCTATTTGGCATTCAAGTTTCAGAGAAGGTTCTGATCTGCCAGGGCAGAGAAAGTTCCTCACCATTGAAATTGAAAGCCCAGTTTCAAACCCAACAAGACTAGAAGGCTAGCAGGGAGGGAAGAAAGAAGACACAAATTGCAGAAAACTGCAGCTGTTACATATCCAGGCAAACAGCCTACCTGAGAGCTAGGTACTCTGAGTCTCACTTGTATCACTCCCTGAAGCCTAAAAAAAAAAGTCATAAAAAAAAACCACCTGCCAATTTATGTTAAATTATTATCATTGTCTTTGTTAATAAGGCAGAGATGTGTATAATTCATTTTAGAAAGATTTCTGTCAGCACAGTCAAAATAATGTTTTGGTACTTAAGAAGGTGCCCATATCTATCTGGAAAATGTCAGGTATCCAAAGTGACTCTTTCTTTGAACACTTCAGATAGCCACACTTTTCCTCTGGACTTTTTCCCCTCTCCCTTATATTTAGTTTTTGAGTAAGTGTTTATGGAAATAACCCAGCTAAGTCTACTATATTGAAAATAAGTCCTCTTAAGAAATCTTCTCTTTAGTTTTTGTGTTGTTGTTGTTTCTTTTGTTTGTTTTTTTTTTTTTTTTAGCTATAGGTCAACCTTTGAAATCTATCTGCAAGAGGTTACCTTGTAGCTTTCAATTAAAGGAGATATTTGGGACAAGGAATTGTAAAATGCTAAACCTACCAGAAAATGAGTGCGTTTTAGCAAAAGCTTTCTCTGGACAGGAGGGGATCCGACCTTGCCAACTAAAGAATATCCTTAAACAAGCTAGATGGTTGTGTTTTTCTTTGGGGGGGGGGGGAAGAGGGGGGTAGAGTAAACTTTTTTTTATGGTTCTTTTCTCTCATTTTCTTCCTCTCCTGCTCTGTCTCGCTCTCTCTTGCTCGCTTGCTGTCTCTTCTCGAATGGACAGGTGAGAAGCCCCACCAATGCAGCATCTGTTGGCGTTCCTTCTCCTTAAAGGATTACCTTATCAAGCACATGGTGACACACACAGGCGTGAGGGCCTACCAGTGCAGTATCTGCAACAAGCGCTTCACCCAGAAGAGCTCCCTCAATGTCCACATGCGGCTCCACCGAGGGGAGAAGTCCTACGAGTGCTATATCTGCAAGAAGAAATTCTCCCACAAGACCCTGCTAGAGCGCCACGTGGCCCTGCACAGTGCCAGTAACGGCACCCCGCCCACTGGCACGGGTTCTGGTGCCAGAGCCGGCCCCACCGGGGTGGTGGCCTGCACGGAGGGGACCACTTATGTCTGCTCCGTCTGCCCAGCTAAGTTTGACCAAATCGAGCACTTCAACGACCACATGAGGATGCATGTGTCTGATGGATAAGTAGTATCTTTCTCTCTTTCTTACGAACAAAACAAAACAAAACAAAACAAACAAAAAAAAAAGCTATGGCACTAGAATTTAAGAAATGTTTTGGTTTCATTTTTACTTTTTTTGTTTTTGTTTTTGTTTTTGTTTCGTTTCATTTTCTACTACATGAAGAACTGTTTTTTGCCTGCTGGTACATTACATTTCCGGAGGCTGGGTGAATAATAGTTTTCCCAATCTCCCTTGGATGGTGGCCTTAAGGCCCGGTAGTGCTTCAGGAGGTCCACTGGTTGGATCTCTAGCTACTGGCCTCTAAATACAACCCTTCTTTACAAAAAATTTTTTAAAAAATTAAAAAAAATTTTTTTTCACTTGTGAAGAGCACTACAAAAAATATATATAACAAAATCTAAAAGGCCTACTGTCTTTAAGTACACCGCTTGCAGTGTTTCAGAGGACATTTTCATAATTCTGGCCGTTTGGACTTCACAGTATCCAGTTAAAACTGTGGAATATCACTTCTGGTTTTGAAACCCCAGAGAAAAGGCCCTGCTGGTTTCCACCCACCACATTGTCTGCTTTCACAAAAGGGCTGTGGGGGTGGGAAGGGAGTGTGGGTTGGGTGGTGTGGGAATCTCTACAGGGTGGGAAAGGCCGATTACAGGCTCTCCTCCTGGATTCTACTCCAGTCCACGATCCTTGGCCCTCCTCTCCATCCCCTCCTTTCAGCAGAAGCCAGGAAGACTTGGACAGCCAACAAGCACCAGTGGCTATCGTATTTATTCTGTGTGTCTTCTTCGCTGAGCCAGGGCCTCAGCACAATCAAAAGGGACTTTCATGAAAGGCAGGAATACAAATAAAACAAAGATATCAGAGGTTTGCACCTATGGTTCTAGGTACAAGAGAAGGATTATTTCCCACAATCTTTGCAAAAAAAAAAAAAAGTGTCAGGATATATTCTTGTGGAGGAGGAAAAGAAAGAAATGGAGGGAGGGGGAATAATAACAGAGTTCTTGAGACTTTTTTAATTCAAAGTTTTATAGAGGGGCAAAAGTGACGTTTACCAGATAGAATGCTGATTTTTTTAATATATTTACAACAGTATTTGTGTAAAAAAGAAAACAAAAAAAAGTGAGATTGTTAAAAGTAATTTGGGTTGTTTTTTTTTTTCATTTTGGTTTTGCATACACTGCCACTAATCCCTTCTCTTTTATTTCTCATATTATAAATATATATATATATAATTTTTTTTCTTTTTTTTTGTAAATCAAGACTGTTAGGGTTAGCTAAACTGCTTCTGGATAGAAAGGAAAAAAGGCAACTAAAGATATTTGAAAGACAGTGAGGAAGGATTTTTTTTTCATCTTTTTAAAAAAAATTTTTCTTCATTTATATTATTTTAAGTATTGCCTGGGTTGATGAGGGCCCTTTGTGGCCAGCTGCCCCTGCTGTTATTTGAACTGCTGCTTTGTATGTTGATGTGTAATTCTCCTTTGACTTACAGCAAACTAAAGATGCTCCACTGTTTTGTTTTGTTTTGTTTTGTTTTCAATTGTTCCATCTAGAATTCTTTTCTTTTCTGGAAAGGGAGTTCATTTGTTCAGAAAGACTTCTTCAAAAGTTCACTGAGATTTTGTCATTCTAGAGATTCTGGTCATTTTTCCTCTTTTCCTTTATTAGACTGGGATGGTTTGGAGGACTTAAACATTAGAAATTTCTTCTGTTTCTTTCTTTTTTTTTTTTTCTTGGTGGTCATCTGGGAGAAGTTCACAGTCTTCTCCTATCTCATCCCTTTTCCAGAGATCTCATCCCTATTGAGAGGTAGCTTATGAAAGCATTACTGGAAGAACCCTGTCCCACACTGAGAAGCATCAATGCCAAAATGACCTTTCTCCCCTCTAAATGTCACTATTTCATTATTCCCACTAATCTAGGCTGTCAAACAAAAAAAAAATCACAATCTAAATGCTGTTGTCTTTCCTAAGACCCAGCTCTTTGGGAGTAATCCAGGAAGACTGTGGAAACTTTCTCCCATCCACGATGCTGAATGATTTCCATTCAGTTGCATAGCACCATATACCACTTTTTACTTCTAGCTAGGATTTCTTTCCTCTCTGCTTAGAGAAATTTTGTGGTAGAGGTTTCCCATTTGTGAATCATTATAATGAAGGAATTTCAATTCAAACATAGTAATCTTTAAACTAAACTGAAACTTTCAAGTGGTTCCATTGCTGGGCATGATAGAGCATCCTTATGGAAAAGTAGGCCTTTAGGCAAAGTAGAAGCACTAAACCAAATTATGCAGAGGCAGAGCAAGAGAGTCTTCATAGGGCCTTAGAGTTTCAAAACCTCTTTGTATTTTCATTCAGCTTTCCTTCAAGTTTTCATGCCCAAATACTTTATTTACAAAAATTCTGTAACCTACCTAAGAAAAATCTTACGAAAAGCAATTCTATAATGGCTAAATTAATTTTATTTATACATTTTTAGCATTTGGTACCCTGGATGTTTCCCCCAAAGGTGTTTCTTGGAGCACCTGCAGCATGAATGACATCCATTCCAACTCTGCAGTCTTTATAAATTCAGTGGGCAGTTTGCTTAAGGCATGACTGTAGACTTGGGTCCCCATTGGTCCTTATAAGGTGGACCACTGTCAAGAACATGTAAAATTCCACTCTATTTAAATAATAATGGAAACTGCCTCAGACTTTGTCAGGAAGGAAATGTCTCTATTTAATCAATAATTAAAAATGTCATTTTAACATATGACCCTTTATATTTTTTGCCTACTGCCAGTAGAGGGAATGTAAGCTAAATAATAAATTATGTTGATATTTTGAAGAATCATTTAGACCATGAGATTAAAAGAAAGACTGATAGATTAAGAAAGTATAATACCTAGAAGAGAAGGGGCCATGAAGTTACTCAGCACAGGTTATAAACAAAAGTATGCAAAAAGGTCTCTTTAAACATTTGCATGGCATTTGATAATGGCCTGTTTAAAACAGGGCCTCTACTCTAATCACAATGATGAATATAGAAACAACATTCTCTCCTGTAGAGAACTACCTGGTTTATGAGGTAGTTTCAGGCCGTGATTCAACACTCAGCTTCCCAAATTGAAAGAAAACCCCATTGACGACTAATTTGCCATATTATAAAGTTAATAATGAAGGAATTATGAAGTTAAGCAGATAGTTCAAAATGTACCTAGAGTTTCTGCTCAGGCTTGAAGTCCCAAATGTTCAAGCCTTCCCCATCTCTTATTTAAAAAAGGAATAAACCAGAAGATGCCCTCAGAGTTCTCAGTGGGGTGATACCCCATAGGCCATGGCTGTTCAGGGGATCAGTTGGTAGGTAGGAGGCAGTGCACCATCTTTATACTTTTGCAGATGTAGGTTCCTAGCGAACATCTTCTCCTCCAAAACTTCTCCTATTCTACACTAACCAGTGCCCTCCCCGTGAAAGAGGGGGCGTATACTTGAACAGCAGATTTTTGTTTATCGGGAAGATAAAGGATACTTCGGGTACAGTACCTTATTGAACTAACCTCTTAAATAAGCTGCCTTCCAAATGGATTCAGATTATAAAAAACCAAACATTCTGCACCCAGTGTAAAAAGGATGAAACTGCTTGTGGTTAGAGGCAATCCTGAACTTTTAAAACAACGTCAGAGTTGGGGAGAGAGGAAGACTCTGCAGCACGAGCAAAAAACCTGATGAGGAAAGGCCTTTTTAGTTCTTTAATTTCATTCCAAACAACTAACCTTCTTGTCTTAGTGTTTCACATCCATCTATGGACTATGAAGTACCAGGGACCTTTTGGTTTTTTCCTTAGCCAGTAAAATCAAGAACTTACTTGGGACTGAATCCCACAGATTAAGGTTCCTTTTGATCGGGTCCAGAAAGCCGGAGCCTATGTGGGAAGAAAAACCATACTTTCTTTTTTCTCTTCTTTTCTTTTCCTTTTTTTTAATGATTGAATCTGGCAATAGCTAAATTCTCCCAGCAAGAAAAAGAGGGTGATAAATGTGTTTAGTAAAGATTGACACTTCCAATCACTGCAAACAAAGCTGGCTCATCAAAATAACACTGCATCATTTCCTTTACAAATAATTGCTAATATTTAGATAAACACACCCCAAATAGTCCAAAATGTATAGTCCAAACATGTATAGGAGTATCTTTACTAGGAAAGAGAACTTGAAAAGGGATTTAATACAAATCTACATATGAGGAAGAATTTATGGAATGAACCTGAAGGCACCTTAAGTAGAATCAAATGCCTATTGAAATGACTACTAACTTTTTTTCCTATTTATTTTAACTAAATTTGAAACTTTGGGCCCTATAACTTCTTTCCTTCTTCAGCATGGCCTCTTAAGTATATATATTTGTATATATGCAACTAAAAGACCATCTTTTCTCTTTCTCCCCATGTTAGCACCACAGCAGCTCCCTCCCTGTTCTATAAGATTTGGGGCTTGAATGATTTACACAATTTAAAAGTTACCAGTATTTTATTTCTAATCGTTCCTTGAGGGCAAAGAATAAATCCTTTCCTAGGTACTGGAAATGTGGTGATGCCATAAGAAATCTTTGACAGGCCTGTACATGAGTTTTACATACTAATGCCTCTATCTATTTGCACTGCAATCTGACCAGCCTCTCCTACCAAATGCCCTCAGCCCCCCTCCCTTATCCCACAATCTATGGTCTCCCTTCTCTGGGAAGAAATGAAGCCTGCCCTACCTACCCTTAACAAACTCCTTCATGTTCCTGAGCAACCATCGTAATGGTCAATGTGGCTACTCATTAAAGGCTTCTTCATAATGTTTCCAGCCCCTGATTTAAGAAAGAAAGATTCTCTGCCCAGGATTTCAATCTAGATGATCACTGCCTGCCCAAGTCTTTCCCTTTACTATTTTAAAGATTATAAAAGAGATGGAATTCTGTATAGAAGGTACCAAATCACTTCCTCTATATATACCCAAAGCAGATAGCAACAAAATAATGTTGCTCTAGCTTATTGTACAGGAATCCATTTGGAATGTAGTGAGAATAGGGAGACCAAGGAGGC